AAAATATAAAATATTAATCTAAACATTGATCTTTGTTACAATGAAAAACATCCTGTTGGACACGACTCAATTGATATTTACAAATTCAGATACTCCCCAAATCCCTCTTTAAGCTAACATTACAATAAAAACAGTTGTGCTTGAATGATCAATTATCTTGCTTATAGAAAAATATTAATCTTTATAATTTGTGCTTTCACACAAGTTTGAAGGACTACTTATATGTGAATAAATGATTCCATGAACTTATTAATTGTCAATATATATGTAAAAATATTTATCATTCTATTAATCAATTCTAATTATATTAATAAATATTACCTCCAAAATTTGAAAGAGAAAATTATTGAATAGTGTGGATTAAGTTCAAGCGTTTTATAAATTAACTAATCATAAGCATATGAAGAGCATTAATTAACTTTTAAGATTGTCTAACCTCCAAAAATACTTATTTATGAATTACAAATAGTTTGGGAATGAAAGGTACTTAAATCTTAAATCTAACAAATTATTCTTTACCATTTACTGAATTGCTGTTAAAAAAGTTTTAATAGATAATTGTTGATGCTAAATTTAAAATTTCTGAAAAGATAATGAATACTTTCAATAGTTTAAAGCTAAAAGGCTGATTGTTCATATATTGTTTGATGTTTGCATAATAAATGAAATCAAAAATCATATTTCTATCCGAAATTTTAATTAATTTAATTCTATAAAAATTTTTAGTTTAAGTTCTTCAAGAAAATATCTTATTTTAAGAAATTTTGTGATTTAAGAAAAAGTAATAAAGAAAATAATCATCTGTTATTTGATAATTCAAAGGTATAGTAAAATTATTAAATTGTTAATAATTTAAGAAAAATATTGATAAATAATGATTTTTACAATAATGGTTTTAAATTTATTGCTACTTCATTTCATCTAAAAAAGTGAAGGAATTATATGAATTTTATCCAGAACACTTCTTGAAATTTCTATTTTAATAAAAATAATTAAATAATAAGAATTTATGGTTAACAATTATTTTTAATAAAATAAGTTAGTAGAAGTTTATGTTGACAGAAATATTGATTTGATAATTAAAGCTTCATTGAAATTCATTCATGACTATTGATTCAATTAGTTTTGATTTATAATTTCATCAATTATGTCCAGAAATTTAATTGTGTGCATCAGTTTATTAGAGGAGTCTATTGAAATGTAGAAATAATCGTAGATCCCTTTTTGCAACATACACATGAGATAATTTATTCTCAATACATCGATAATATCAAATGAAAAGCTAGTTATTGAATATTTAAAAATAGGCTTTCAAGGTTGAAATCTCAAAAGATTGAAACATAGACAGAAAATTCCTTTCTAATTATTTTGAATTGGATGATAATTAATAACAATGAAAATAAAAATAATATTAAATTTTTTTTAAAAGTACTAATGTATTAACAATTGATTATTGGTTGTGAGGTTTTTAAAGGACATAATAATTTTTATTATTAATTATTTTTTTGATAAATTCATATTTCTAAATTTAATTGTCATTACCCATTTATAATTAATATTAATAGCATTAGAAAAAAAAGAGTGATCATTTAATGAAAAGTATCTTATGCGATAATTTTGTGGTTTATAAGTGCTTTGAAATTTTGAAATTCCCTTAAAAATATTATTTATGTCAAATCAAGATCTTAATATATTTCCACACCTCAAAGTAAATGTGCCTTCGTTCCTTCTAAAAACTTATGAAATTTTAGAGGTATAATAAGCAAATATTATCTTTAGAATGATTCATTAACAGACCTAATTTCATGGAACAAAGAGGGAACTTCCTTTATAGTATTCAAACCTAGTGATATGTCTTCGAAAGTGTTAGCTAACTATTTTAAGCATAAAAACTATCCTAGCTTTCTCAGGTATCATTAAAGTAATGTAGATAACTAAACATGTATAATTTTAGAAAGACCAGAAATTAGTTTGGGTAAAGTGAATTTCGCCACAGATGGTTCAAAAGAGGGTTAAAGTAATAGTTGAATCATAATCTTTCTAGAAGTACGCTGTAGTATATAAGAAGAAGAAATTAGGAAGAGTCTGATCTAAGAATAGAAACAAAAGAGAGCAGTTAAGAACTTGATAATTATAAGAGAGAACAGGAGAGCCTGAAATAAATTGTAAAAGACCTCCAAGAAACATAAATCAAACTACAGGAGGACTTAAATTTTCAATAGGAGCAGTCAGTGACATTATCTAATTAAAATTAGAACACATTATAAGTAAATTATTTAGATTATTTAGGCAATAAATTAAACCTAATTGTAATTCAACCAAAAGTATGATTAAGTGATTCTCATGTTAACCAATTCAATTAACAATATGCCATCTTTAGGTGTTCTAATATTTAAATTTGAGTCTATAATTTTAAAGAAATAATTAAATATTGTCAAGAAGAGACAAATTTAAACTTTTGCCTTTAGAATCATGTTCCATCAACTAGGACTTAGAATGCTTAATACAGTTAAATGCATTATTACCCACAGCGACAGTACTCTTGTAATAATCCGAACTTAATTTAACTTTATTATTATCAGAACGATCCAAAATAATACTTATTCAAAAAGAATAGTCCCCTTGCTTTAACAGCCTCAACCCAGAATAATTACTTATGTATCAATTAGCAATATTCAAGCTCCATAATATAATTATTCACTTTAATCCAGTTAGCAAAATTCTCCCTATAGAATTCAGAATATTCAGATGTCCCCATATTATTACGACTCAAGGAATATAGATTAAGTAAATTCGATTTAAATTTTATTCTAGTACAGTTTATACTAATAAGTATGATTCCTATTGTATGTTTGTATATTTCTCTATTTAAATTATAAATTGTATTAAATATTATCAGAAATTTAAAGTTGGATTTGCTATGTACTATCAATGTCACATAGCAAAATGATATCTTCTAAAGAGTGGGATAATTTTATGTATTTAAGACATTCTAGAATTGAATAATTGATAAATACTATTTAATTTAATACTATTAAAATAATTCATTACATTCCCATATCGTCATCGTCATCTCCTTCTCCACCATCTTAATTAATCCCGTATTCATCTTCTCCATCTTCATTTTCAGCTTCATCTATATAATCGGCTTGTTGGTTTCCAACAACTTTAGGCTAAATATATTATCCTATGAAATACTTCAATTTTAACTTTCATCTATCCTTAATACTTTTTCATAACATTTTCAATTTCAGCCAAAGCATCCTTCATAATTTTTACTCCATCCCTTGAGATTGTAGTTGTTCTACCAGTGTAAGATGGAGATGCTTTTATTTCAAACTAAAATTTAAATTATAGAATACTGATAGTTTGCATTCTTCAGTGGATTTCATTGTTCCAGCGATTAGAGCTTCCTTGATAATAAGACTTCCGGCATAGTCATGACTGATTAAGTCAAATTCAGTTTTGATAGTAACTGGTTCTGGTTTTAATCTTCTCTCTATTTCTTCCATTAATTTAAGTTAAATCTATTCTGATAGATTTAGCTTTGACAAATTCTTTTAATCTGATAAAGCATTTTTAAATATTTAAAGAACTGAAACATTTTATTTATTGTCTTATAATGGCCATACAATAGTTTTATATAATTCCTAAATATTGATATTGCATTTTTCTGCGATGGCTCTCATAATTGAATGAATCATTTTTCCATCTGCAAACTTTTATAATGACATAAGCTCTTCATCCTTGGCCACCTTCTTCTTAGATAGATCTATGTATCCTTAATCTTCATCTACTCTCAACACTCTAACAACTTGAATTTTTCCTATTTTTAAAGCTTTTTGAATTCCGCCCTTTAATGCTCTTGTTGTTTCATTCGGTGGAATCATGCCTCTTATTCTATCATACTCCAATAATTCGACGTATGATGCATTTTCTTAAACTTCCACTACCTCTACAACAACTAAATCATTTTCTTTCGGATACTAATTCTCATAAAATCTGCATCTGAGATTAATTCCTTCATCTATGACAGGTTTAATTTCTTGAATCATTAAATAAATTTTATATATTATTATTTTTCAATTTTCTTCTTTGAGATCGGTATTTGAATTTTTCTTATTATCACTGTCTCTCAAATCAGAATAAAAAGTAAAAATTCTTTGATTTTCATTTCATTGGTCACCTTGAATACTCTAATTTCCCTCTTTATCTTATTAATTCAAAACTGCATGCTCAAAACAATCAAAGCTTCATCAAAATTCATTTTTCATCCATAGAATAAAATCTTTTATGGGTAATTGGTCTTATAATTTTTATGATATGTCCGTATATCAAAAATATGTGATATAATTCTTCACTCAAATAAGAATAACACATATATTTTAATAAGCCAAATATCTGTTTATTGAAATTATTTAGCCTTTCATAACTATTTATCTTTGCCCTGAGTTCATAAAATCAAAGAATAACCTCATTAATATATAAAGGGATATTTTTCTTATAGTCCTTCGATCTCAAAATATCTACAACTCAGCATCCATAAATTCAATTTTAAATCAAGTGTGTATCGTAAGCCTTTTAACTACTTTTTTATTAACCATCAATCTAATCTATCATTAGATAAATTAAGATTTTTGAGACAATTTTGATATTTCTTTAATAAATAATCATAACTTTTACTTGATATTTTAGTTGACAATTTGTTTTTCAAATAAATAAAATTGTAATTTACTTATATCATCTAATTATAAATAGATAGATTCTCTACGAAGGCATTCTAAAGGAAAGGCAAATAGAGGTGTAATAATATCTAGAAAACTACAATTTCTCTTCGAAATTTGTACTCATTGTATCGATAGATAGATTATTGTTTACAATAAAGTGGAATATACCATACTAGTTTATTATCTCCTGAATCATTTCCTTTATTGTCCTTATACTCTTAAAAACAATAATTCTTTATTTAATAATCTCAAGCTTAAAAATCCTGTGTTATAAACCTCTATAACTAATTTCATTAAAGTTATTCCAAATAAAGGATCACTTTGATATTATAAATAGATTTTTCAAGACCTGATTACATTTTTCAATTTCTTTCAACCTACTTTTCTCTACTAATTCCAATACCTTTTTCCCAGCCAAATTATTGTAAATGAAACTATCTACAAGCCATAAATGCTGATCCAATTAAAGCGAAATGTATTATATACAAATTCAGATTATGTAATATATTTTAATTACTATTTCAAACAATGTCTTAAAATAAAAGTAAATAATCCAATGCTAAATTATAGTTATTATGCTGGGAGATTGTGGAGTAGGCAAAACAACTATCTTAAACAAGTAAGAAGATCTACTTAAGTAAAAGTTTTTTGGATATCAATGGAAAAACTGAGACAACCATTGGAGTATAGCATCATTCGTTCACAAGAAATAATGTGAAGTTTTCAATATGGGATACAGCAGGACAGGAGAAGTATAGATCCATAGTGTCAAGGTTGTTATCTTAATTCTATTAAAGCCATTATAAACGAGCAAAGGCTGCTATTTTGGTTTATGATTGTTCAAGTGAATCATCATTATTACATATTGATAAATGGATTGAAGAACTTGTCTTCTAAGCTGGTGCAAATGTTAAAATTGCATTAATAGGGGTAATTGGATCTAAATTTCAATTTTGGTTAGAATAAAACAGACTTATAAAATTTCGATATAAATGAGCACGCTTAAAAGTTAACAGAATAATATGAAATCGCCTATCAAATTTAAACTAATCATATAGATCCTGAATTCAAAGATAAGATGAATTAATTATTAGACTAAATTAGCATAAGTATAGAATCAATTTATTTTTATATTTGGGATTGATACCACAAAACTAGCAAAACTAGTCACCAATTTCGAATATTGATATAAAAGAGCCTAATGATCAAGTGAATGTGATTGAATTCAATCAAAATGATGCTAAACCGATAGAAGTTTAGGTGAATAATAGTGAATAAGAAGTAAAAAGTTGTGAATGTTGAGTTAATTGATAAATAAATAATACATACATTTTTCTAATTTCTATACATGAATAAATTTATTTCAAAAATACTTAAACCCAACTCTCCTTAGATTTTCGTAGGTGCATAAAGAAAAAATATTTACAACAACACTTCTTATCACGGTTACTTAGAATCCTTTGTAGAATGCCAAAGCTCCTCCCTCAGAATAGATTTACTTAATGATACTAGTAGTGCTTAAATATCAATGCAAATCTTTACTTACCTTTCATTTAATACTTGATATCTTGTCTTAACGATGTCAATGGGATAACTGATACTCCAAAAGCTAGCGGCTGCTGACATGCTGGCCATTAAAATTCCAAATTATGAAGCTTCTGTTCTATCCCTTCCTTGAGGAGTAAAGTATTATAAGGTCTTGGCATGAGATACAAAATATAATCCACATCCAATTGAATCTCTCATTAATTATAATCTGAGTCCTCTAACAGTTAATTTATTTGAAGTTTACTTATAAATGTGAAAAAAGCCTTAAGTTTTCAATATCTGATACAATTTATGAATTGGACCATCAGTCTACTCCATTTTTTTTATTTTTGTTTTTTGGGATAAAATTTTGCCATATTCTAATGGACATGCAAATATATTGCTAGCAATACCCTATTTAATGTAATTGTATAATACTGCCATACTTCCGGCTAAAAATGTTTGTTAAAATGGTAAATAGCTGTGTTCATTTAAATTATCCATTCTAGCAAACCACTTTCTCATATGTTCATAGGTAGGAAAATATATTGATCCAGCGCAAACAGAATTTAGAAGCTGTATTGATACCCCTATGCAAATGTATAAAATCTACCTCTGTACAAAGCCTTCACTCCTTCATCTCTAATAATTTGAATTCCTGCTTTTATCATGCTTTGCTTCTTGTGTTGTATTTGAATTCTGGTTTTGATAAAATCCAAGGGATATCCAATCAAGGTATGAATGCAGCCTATTCGATTAGATTGAGTGATTACTTGAGAGAGTGCCGGAAACAAAATTAATGATGAAATATTTCATGTACAATATTTTTTAGATTAATGTGACTTATAGAATCAAGAAATAGAGTTTTTCTTTTTAATGAAGAGAGTGTAAGTTTAAAGTCGTTATTCTAATTGTTTAGAAGCCAAATGATGTTCCCAATTGATGCTATCTACTTGAGTGGATTGATTTTATAAAAAGCCAGTTCTTAATTGATTGTAAAATTATTCTAAGACTTCTTATTAAGCCTTGATGTCTATGGCTATAAGATCTGGAGATTTGAGTTGATTACAAAATTACTTGGCACATTCCTTTAACAAGGCAATGTATTCAAAGAATGGATGGATGATTTCCACCTTCTCTACATCAGGCTACTTAATTTTAAACATCGATTGTATATAATTTTTCCTCCAGCTAAAATAGTTGTCATTCCACCAGTGTTCCTATTTCTTCATTAATGTGTTCACAGCCAATAATACTTCTATTGAAACCTAAATTTAGGGTGTTAGATACATACTTAGACCAGCTAAGCCTGAAAGTAATGGAACAATTCAACAGCATACTCATTAAAATCCACTTATAACTCTTAAACTCTCATTGATACTGAAATTAGTTATTTGAGTAAATATATCAATTGCATGGCTGCATCTGTTTCTGGAATAAAGTTTCGTATTAGAACAATTGATTTCGTATTTAAAATGCATTTGACTTCATTAACTACAATCCAAGTCTTGCCTTCATTGACTATTCTATTCTTGTTTATATGTTTAGACAAAAAGGCTGACAAATCAGGCTAATTTAATTGTTCCAAACTAATCTAATCAAAAAAATGGATTTAATCTGTAAGTCTAGGAAATTAAGTAGCCAGATTAATTTAGTTTATTTAATTCGCAAAGTTCTTATTTTGCTTCTACGATTAACAGGTTCCCATTATTACAAATTATTGCAAAAAATCAGAGTTTATAATATTATGATTATGTTCAAATAGCATCAATTAATAGTATAATAAATGATAATATTTTATAAATAGAAATCACTTTTATTGATTATGAGCCCACTTTCTAGCAAATAGGAACGGATCATTTTGATGTTTCAAATTTTCTTACAAAATATCTATCAGAACTTCGTAATCAGTATTAGATTCCTTTAAAATGATTTGACTCATCAGACTAACTAAGTACATGCTAAGTAGTTTCCCCTAATCTTCCAATTACGTATTAAAGAATATAAGAAATGTGTTGTCCATAGTGAAATTCAAAACATGTTAGACTTTTTCATAGTAGGAGTTCAGTTGATTAATCCATACATTCAATTAATCTTTATATTATTTAGGAGCAAAAGAATAGAATGCTTTGGCTTTGATTGCCAACAATTTTCTAAATAGAAAATTACATTTCTATTTTTGTTCATTTTGCATATTCATATTTTTGATAACGTTTTCTAAAAACCAACAAAAATTAAATGTTGGTAGTATGATAGCTGGCAATTAAGTTAATAAAGGTTGAAATTTTTATCTCTATTATTACTGCATTACTCCCTAAGTTGAAAATGAACACTCAGTGGATATCTATCCTATTTGCTCTTAATTTTCATTTGAAGTTTTTAAGCTCATTTTTGGGAGATCCTCTTAAGTTGCAAAATCTGAAACAGAATTTACTTTGCAATCAGTTTTTGAAAATATCTTCATTGAATCAAATTTCTTCTGATCATATGTTAAAGCCTTATTATGAGATTAAACATGCTTTTAGTATTTCTGTCTTTAGCTATCTAAAGTTTGTGGTTTGGAAGTTGAGAGAGGAGAATTGAGGCTGGATTATACGAATTAATAGTTAAGTTTCTACAAAGGAGATTAGACTCTTGGTGATTTAGTATCGCTTTGGCATTGGTCTTGCTTCAGCATTTGAATAATTTAAGTTATATTGAGTCTGTCTTGAGGATTTATTTATAGCATTCCAAATAACAACGTCTTAATTAAGGATTAATATTTAAAGTCCTGTTTCTGACACTTCTTCAATATATCTTCGTGGAATGTTTTTATGTCTTGCTTATAAGGAGGAATGCAATTGAACAACATTTCATAGAGCATGATTCCCAAAGCCCAGATGTCACTTGAATCAGAATATTAATTTGTTTATGAAATTTCTGGCGCCATATACATGGGGGTACCAACATTAAATCGCTTTATCACACTTTCAATTTAATCTTCAATTAAGGCAAACCCAAAATCAGCCAATTTGTAGATACCGTCTTTAATTAGTATGTTGGCTGGCTTAATATCTCTGTGGATGATTTCTAGAATGAAATATTAATTTACTTTTTTCATGCAAGGCTAAAATGCCTTTTGAAACCTATAATAAAATAGATAACACTTTTTCAGTTGTTAATTCAGTTTTTTTCATTTACTATTCCAGACTTCCTTCGTTACACAATTCGCTAACAATGTAAGTGTTGTTAGCGCTCTAACTTATTTCGTAAACTCGCAATAAATGTGGGTGATCTATTCTTAGCAAAATAGCGATTTCATTTTTTAAGAGAGATTTTTATATAGGGGATGTATATGTTTGGGAACTAATTACCTTTATGGCAACAACTTGGTTGGTTTTGATGTGTTATCCCTTATACACTTTGGATGAGTATCCGGAGCCTATTTCTTGGGAGAATTCGAAAATGTATTCTCCTATTTACTTTTTTATAAATTCCTTTTAATTGCTCATTTGTTCACTTAAATTGGAGGAGCAAGATTTTAAAATAATTTTTATTATTCAAAATTAAGGAATAAATCGTAGAAGCATGTTAAGAAAAATAAAATTTCGTATTAAATCAATTATTTTGCTATTAAAAATCTTTAAAACATAAGCAGTTATATGAAATCGTTTGTAATATCTAGTTCTAATTGATGGGTAATCGTTATGTTTGCAGCCTTATACATTCTAGTAAAATATAAAAAACAGCTTAATTATTATAATGTTTTAATAAATTTACTTTAGTAATTGAATTGATATGAAAAATGGAATTAATCAAAAACTCTAAAGTATGATGTGATTTATTCCACCTCTTATGATCCCTCACTTCAAACAACTTCAAATAAAATTGATGTTTATTAACAGTTTGCTAAGAATTTAAGAATTTTTCCATTATTTTTAATTATTATTTATTATGATTGTTTATCAATAAAACTAATATCAAATCTAAATGTTGTTGACAATTATAAACTATCATTATGGATATTTATATTGAATAATTTAAATATCTTATACCATTTTATGGGAGCGTGCTCAAGCAATCCTAAAAGAAAATATGCGTCAAAAAGAGGTAGTTAGAGTACCTTTAACAAAACACAAGAAGTTTCTACAATAAAATCGAACAAAAGTCTTCAGAAACAAAGAACAAATTTTAAAGTTGCTCCCAATATCTTTATATCATTGAAAAGTGGGAGCATATTAACCTATTATAAAGTATAATCAACCTTAGGGGAAGGTAGTTATTGAAATTATATTCTTAGGAACCTATGGACGAGTGAGCTTGGTAATGCAAAAATCAACTTAGATACTTCGGGCAATGAAATAGATCGCGAAGGATAAAATACTAGTAAGTTAAAGGGATAAAATGATATAAGAAGTAAACATTTTAAAAAATCTTGATCATCCAAACATAGTTAATATTTATGAGCTCTATCAAGATGAACATCAGTATTATTTGATCACTGAGTAATGTTTTACATTAAAAAAGGTATTTAAGTGGTGGAGAACTATTTTCTAGAGTTTAACAAAGAAATAATTTTAATGAGAAGGTTGCTGCCAATTATATGAAACAAATTTTAAGTGCAGTGAATTATTGCCATCAAAGAAATATTGTTCATAGGTAATAAACGAGTCTATATTAAGAGATTTGAAACCTGAAAATATCTTATTTGATTCCAAGAATTCTGACGACTGTCTTAAGATTATTGATTTTGGGACAGCCAAATAGTTGGAGCAAAATTCTTAATTAAAATAAAAAATAGGAACTCCCTATTTCATTGCTCCTGAGGTTATTGATCAGAATTATAACAGCAAATGCGATATATGGTCATGTGGAGTCATTCTTTATACCCTTATGTCAGGCAAGGCTCCTTTTAATGGGGCCAGTATTAATGACTTATATAAGAATATTAAATCAGGACAAGTCGATTTTAATGGTATAGATATGTATTTATAAATTATTAGGTGATGAATGGAAAGAGGTGTCCGAATAAGCAAAGAGTTTTATCTTAAAAATGCTAACAGTAGATCCAGGGAAAAGAATTTCAGCTGAATTGGGATTGAAAGATCCGTGGATAGTTAGCAATTAGAGAATTGATAAAATCAATCCTAAAAATCTTTAAAATCTTGAATCTTTTCATGTAATATTTGATTTATTATATATTTTCAGAATAAAAGTAAACTTAGTTCTGCAATCTTACAATTAATCTCAACCTAAATTATGAATTCAAAAGAAAAAAAAGAATTAATAGAAGGATTCAAAGCGATTGACAAAAATGGCGATGGAAAGTTAAGTAAAGAAGAACTTACCTAATGTAATTGAATTCTTTTAATTTAGGTTATATGAATTTATACTAAGATGAAATAAAATGTTCATAAATTGTGGATAAAATCTTTCGAACTGTGGATCTTGATCATTCAGGAACGATTGATTATACTGGTAACTTTTGAAGTCATTATTATACTAGAATTTATAATTGGTTATACAGAAATGCAAAACCTCATGGCTAAAGAGAAACTGGAAACAGCATTTAAATTATTTGATAAGGATGGAAATGGCATCATAACTAAACAAGAACTTAAGGAAATTTTAGGTGGATTAAATTTGCAAGACAATCAATGGGAAAATGTGTTCATGGAATTAGACACAAATGGTGATGGTGAAGTTTCTTTTTAAGAGTTTACATCACTTATATTAAGAGACACCAAATAAAAGTGAAAGGATCAAACTTTGAATTCATAATTATTATAATTTTGTAATCTAACACGCTCAATACTCTTTATTATTGTCAATATTTAAAGGAATTATTAATTAATTATAAAATTCTTTAAAGGAATTATTAAATAGATACATTTTTGATGAATCTCATACACTTAATTCTAATATCATTTAAAAAATAGTTATTTCTTATCAAAATCTGAGCTAATCGAAAATCACATTAATTGTGAGATGATTTTTAGAAGAAAATTAATTTATGACAACTAAAATTAAGTTGAACGATTAATCACCTTATTTCAATAAATATGAGTTAGAGCTAATTGTTATTCCCTCTAAAGATTCGAAAATCATTATTATATTACATAAGTATTGATTATAGTTTTAATTTATTAACGAAATAATATATTTTAAATTTTCAAACAGTCAACAAAGAATGTCTAAATAACCTAAATAAGTATGCATTCATTTTCATTCTTAGAGTCTTTATGAAGCATTTAGTAAGCAACTTAAGCCTTAGATGAGTACAACCCTGTCAAACCTTAAACCGGTTGTAAATGAGCGTCCTGCTACAGCTAAACCACTTCAAAATTTATCAAATGCTCCAGTTCGAACCCAAGAAGATTAGACTAAAAAAACAGTTGGCAGATCTCCATAAAGAACGACATTCGAACGACCTACTGCTGAAAATAAACCTATGGTATCCGAAATAGATGAAAGACCAATACCAAAAGTATTGCAGAAAGGAAAGTCACCATAACCCACCTAATAATTACCAAATCCAAATGAGATGATAAGAATATAAGATTAACGATAATTTGATGATAGACCACTTCCAACAAGCAAGCCATCCCTGGATTCATAGTTATAAATAAATCAGAACAAGCAATTCCAAAATGCAAAGTAAGCCAGTACCACATAGCCCACATAATCTCAACAATACTTTAAAGCTTAACCGAATATTTAATAAACCGCTAATCAATAATAATAAAATGTGGTTAATAATAAACAATAACCTCCTGCTCAATAGTAACAATAAACTCGATTATCACTTCAAAATACATAAACCTCGAGGCCATAAGCTTAATCAAATCAATAATAATCCCAGCCACAATAACCTTAAACAGTGAAATCATAAGCACAGTTAAAATAAGCACAATATGAAGAATAGAAATAACAATAAGAATAGTTCCAAAGATAATAAAAAAATCAAGAATAATAACAATAAAGATAATACTAACAATATTAATAAGCTTAGTAGTAACAAAGAACAGCACCTTAAGCTCCATCATAAGTTTAATTCCAGAATACATAATATTCTGAATATTAATAATATTAAGAATATTAACAGTAACCAGTTTAACACAAATAATAAAATGGGAAATAACCCATGAATAGTTAATAAGATTTAAGAGGATAATAGTAGTAATAATAATAATAACAACAAAGACCATAATAATAGTAACAACAATAATATGCATAATACTAATAGCAATAATAATAATAATAACAATAATAAATCTAAGAATAACCAATAAAGACAAGGTAATAATAACCACAATACTAATAACAATCATAACCATAATACTAAAAATAAATGCAATAACCCCAGCAATAAATACAATAACCAATTTAATAAAAGTCCTAAATGCCTCCTATGGAAGAAGCAGGAGATGAGAAATTGTATGAATGTCCTGAAGGTTGTGGCAGATCGTTTAACAAGAAAGCATTAGAAAAGCACGCAAAAGTATTAATTATTTTAAATTTAGGTTTGTTAAAAAGTATTCTAATAAAAAAGAAAAGTGTTTGATTCTTAGCAATAAAGATAGTTAGATGAAGAAGAAGAAGCATATAGACCTCCTCCTCCTCCTTCAAAGAAGTAATAATAACAATAACAATAATAACAACAATAAAAATAAGCTTAGAAGCAAAAGGAATCTAAGAGCGATAAGCCTAAATGGAAAGCCTAAAGTGATGCCTTTAGAGCTATCATTAAGTAAGGAAAAGGCGAGTAGTTAACTAAGGAGGAATAAGTATCATTGAAGAATGCTATGGATGCTACTTAAGATTTAGTTTAATGCAAATTCTGCAACAGAAAGTTCAATTCTGAAACAGCTAAAAAGCATATAGCATTTTGCGAGACTAAAGCCAAATAGGCAGTAACTTAAAAGAAAAAGAAATGAGCTATTAAATAGAAATTTATTGAATTATATTTATACTATTTATTATCAATTGCTCATTCTTCACATATGGATAGGTTTGAAATGAGCACTCATGCAGGCTTCCTTCAATGCTTCACTTAAAGTTGGATGTGCATGACAAGTTCTGGCAAGATCTTCAGAAGCAGCACCATATTCAATACCAAGAACAGCTTCAGCAATCATTTCTCCAGCATTTGGTCCCTAAATTTAGAATAAGTTAGTACCACAATATGAACTCCCAACAATTTATCTGTTTTTTTGTCTGTCAACACCTTAATGAAACCTTCAATTTCATCATTGGCCTTTGCTCTAGAGTTAGCCAAGAATGGGAAAGATCCTTTGGAATATTAAACTCCAGCTTTCTTTAATTCTTCCTCTGTTTTTCCTACAGTGGCCACTTCTGGATTAGTGTAAATGACTCCTGGGATGGCATCGTAATTAACATGTCCAACTTTTCCAGAGAGTATCTCAGCAACAGCAATACCTTCTTCTTCTGCCTTATGTGCAAGCATGGGACCTTCAACAACATCTCCAATAGCATAGACTCCATCTACTCCTGTTGTAAAATTATGTCCGATTTAAATTCTGCCTCTATTATCTAATTTCACACCAATAGACTAAATTAGGGATAATCAATACTTCAGCATTCAATCCTTAAGTATATGGACGTCTGCCTGTGCTCACTAACACGTGATCAGCTGTCAATGTGATCTTGTCACCTCCTTTGACTGGTTCAATAACTACTTCAGCAGCATTTCCTAGATTTTTTCCGCCTAAGACTTTGTGTCCAATTAAGAATTTCATTCCTTATTTAGTTAATATTTTTTAGAATGCTTTTGACACTTCAAGGTCGATAGCTCCACAAATGTTGTCTAAGTATTCGACGACTGTAACCTCTGTTCCCAATCTTTAATATACTGAGGCCATTTCAACACCGATTACACCTCCTCCGATGACTACCAATTTTTTAGGAATTTATTGAAGAGCCAATGCTCCAGTGCTTGATATGATTATTTTCTCATCGAAGTCTAAGCCTGGGAAAGGAGTGGGTTCACTACCTGTGGCAATGAGTGTATTCTTTGTTGTAATTGTCTCTTTTTTTCCATCATTGAGATCGATGGCGATTTCATTCTTAGATGTAAATTTACCCCATCCTTTATAATAGGAAACCTTGTTTTTGGCAAATAGACCTTCAATTCCTTTTGTGAGTGATCCAACTATATCACCTTTCTTCTTCTATACTTATGCCCAATCAACTCCGAGATTATCGACTTTAATTCCCAATCCTTTGAAGTTTTTGTGAGCATCCTCATATTTATGACTTATATTCAGAAGTGCTTTGGATGGAATGCAGCCTACATTCAAACAAGTACCTCCAAGAGAGCCTCTCTTTTCAACACAAGCAGTCTTTAAGCCCAATTGAGCAGCTTTGATGGCAGCAACATATCCACCTGGACCACCACCAATGACTACTAAATCGAAGGGTTGACTTGAGAATGAGGATCTCTAGAAATGAGTGAATTAGTTGGTTATTAAATATCTTGTCTTAAACATAATTTATTTATCATTAGTCTTTCAATACAAATTAAATAAAAATGACGCTAAATAAGATTAATAAATAAATCAATTTATTACATGACTTCATTTGAGATGCAAGAATAATACTCTTTATAGGACTCACTATTGTCCGATGTATCTTCAATGTCAATCGAGTAAAGATCAAGAAGCCGCACTTTAAATAAAACAGTGAAGTGGAAACTTGAATAATTTCATGAAAAGAATGTGATGCAAGAAGAATAAGAAAAGATTTAGCGAGTCCTTAAAATCTATGACGATAATCTCAATGATGAACATGGGCAAAGTGATAGCAATTTTTTCGAAGAATACTTATCTTGGCTTCCTGTCATTCTGCCAAAACGAGTTTGGCCTTGGAAGATATTTGTAGCCATTACTACACTCTTCGTCTTTTTCGAAGTGCCAATCTATGTAATGTATGGCGAGGAATTTTGGAAGGTATTCAATGCATATAATCCAAGGAACTCATAAATCCAGCTGGACGATATACTTTATTTTATGGAATCTTTATAATACTTTTAACAGACATGCTCCTTGATTTTGTAACTTCATACTATAAACATGGAAATCTTGTATTGGATAAAAGAAAGATAGCCATGCACTATTTTTATGGTTATTTTGTTTTTGATTGCGTTGCTGTAGACATTTATTTTTTAATCCTAGTTATTCTCCTGTGTTGTTAGATTAGCAGTTGATACTAATCATCTTAGATTCATCTTCTTTATGTTCTATTTCAAATTGCCTTCTCTACTTAGAATTGATCATCAAATTGCAGAATTGATATTACTCCATAAAAGATTAAGAACATTCTATCAAATCACAAAAATGCTTATATTTATGTTCTTCTGTTTCAACTTTTATTGTTGCATTTGGTATGTGTTAGGCATCTACGGTGACAACATACATATTAACACATGGCTCAATGTACCAGGTAATTTTGGAGTGATCAAAGACAAATCAATTCATGAAATATACTTTTATTCATTCTATTTCAGCTTGAATGTGCTCTCTACCACCATGGGTTTTGGTGATATCGTAAAACTATTATTAATCTATATGTTAGTCTCCTATGAATATCTACGAATGTTCGTTTGCTCTCTTTGGAGTCATGTTTGCTGTCGTTGTCTTTGCTTTGAATATCAATAACTTTTAAAAGATGATGGAAGAATACAACTCGTATTACATGCAACGGTTCAAATAAAAGGTATATCTAAGCTTGAATTTTAGGTGTCTATCAATAAATTTATGGAATAAAAAAATGTGCCTTCTGAATTAAGGGAACGTATAAGATAATACATCAATGAACATTGGGCTGAAGAAGGAAGCAGAGACTAGGAAAGTGAACAATAAGTATTTGAGATTCTAGCACCTGAATTAAAATAGGAATTGATGTATCAATCTTTAGGATAGTTTCTCTAAAGAACTATGTTTGCTAATCATTTCACAAAGCCTTTTCTCAAAGAATTAGCATAGAAGATTAGAGAACAATCTTTTTCATAAGGAGATGAGATTATTGGTGTAGGATCTACAGAACAAACTGACGATTTAAGCATTTTTTACATTGTGGGAGGTTCAGTTATTGTAAAACCAGGAAATAGTGAAATCATTAAAAAGAAATTAGGATTGTATAGCTATTTTGGAGAGTGGTCATTCTTTACAGGTTATTATTGTTGGTGATTATAATTTTAGGTTTTCCAAGAACTGGTACCGTAAATGCTAAAGAATATACATAGGTTTATGCAATCACTAGAGCTGACTTTTTAGAAACACTAAGGAAATTCCCGGAAGATTTTGAGATGTATTGTCAAATAAGGGATAAGTTACTATTCACCAAAGAATACAACCTAGTAGAATAGCAATGTTACACTTGTGGCAGTTCTGAACATTATGCTGATTAATGTCCAAAGACTCATTACATACCATTGGTTTAAGAATTAATTGAAGAATCTACAGTGTTGGACCTTAAATAGGATAGAGTGAAAATTTAGAGATTTGATAGGAAGCAATGGGCTACCAGAGCTAATGCAACAACTTTGATCAAGGGGTTAAGCAATAACAAATTGAAAAAGAAGGCTAATCTAATGCTCAAAACACAGAGAGCTCTAAAGAAAAATACAATTAAAATAGATAGACCCTTGATTCCTCAATGGCAAGTCAAAGAATTTAAGAGTTTAGATGAAGAATAGGCAGCAAATCCAATGGTGGATGAAATGACAGAGAGTTAGAATCTGAATATTCAATCGAATGATAATGAGATACCTTAAAGATAATAGTAGAGTTCATAATTGAAAAACTTTGCAATTCAAGCCTTGACTCAATCTGGTATGTAACAATCAGCTCTATTGAGTTCAAGAGTCATGGAAAATCCTAATCAATCTTAATCATAAAAACGTGAGAATGTGATGGCTGAGTATCAAAAGATAGTGTAACCAACAATCAAGACTGGAGTGGAATAATTTGATGCACCTGCTAATTACAAGAATTATTACAGAAAATACAATAGCAATAATTATTAGGAATTCAAAAATGTTCAGATAATTTAAAAGGATAAAATATAGAATATGAGACAGTCGATAATGTTAAAATGATATTTAAATAAATTATTGAATAATATTCATTTATTAATTGATGTGTCAATCCTTAGTAACATCTCTTTTGGTAAAGCAAGGGATTCCATTCTTAATTGGATATTTTATGCCGATACTTGAAACATAGAATTGTCCCTATCGTATTAATACCTCTTTAGTAATTGGGCAAATGAATTTCACTAAATTATTATTCATTAAATTATTTATAATATCAGAGTCTTTTTATCTATTTCTTATAAAAAAGTTCAAAAAATACACTTGCTCCAAATCCTCCTCCTAACGGACCACCCACATAAACCCATAAGAAATCCATTCTTTAACGATCTCCTGTTTAAAATGATTAAAATAATTATAAGGAAACTGCCATGCCTGGGTTTAAGCATCCTATTTATTAGCTATCTATATTTCATACCTCCTGAATGAAATGTGAATTCTCTTGAAAAGTACAATGCTAAAGCAACTAAGACATAAGTGGTCATAGGTTGTCCTCCTGGGGTTAAAGTGGTTTCTGGGTCGGTTTGGATGAGTATGAATAAGATGAAGGTAAATGTTCCAAATGCTTCTCCGCTTACATCCGATAATATCCATGAGTAATCAGTACTCTTAACTTCAGGGCTGTCTACTTCATTCAAAATTAGATAGCAACAGCAAGCTCCACACAATGCTCCTGAGAATTGAGCCAACCAATATATCACTGCTTAGGCAAAGTTGATTCTTCTTGACAACAGCATTGCTAATGTAACAGCAGGGTTTACATGTGCTCCTGAAAATGGAGCAGCCAAACAAACTGATGCGAAGAAAAACAAAGCTAAAAATTCATCTGAACCTTATGAACATATGATTCTAAATTAATTTGATTAATACCCATATGCAAATAATGCCATTCCAAAGAATTCAAATAAGAATATTCTCATTTCATCTCTTGATTTTCCTGCTGCTGGTACTATTTATGTTTTGCCCTTCGGTTGGCTTACAACGGCATTTTCCTCCATATTAATTAATTAAATTTATTTATATATAAATATTTTATGTTCTCAACCAATTTGTATGTATAGATATACATTCTCTTAGGTTTTGGAACTCAATTTGAATATGATATTATCAATTAATCAAGTTATAAGAGATTGTTTAATTGTAGTATTTATAGATTTAAGAATCGCTATCGTAAACATCAATTAATAATTTTATGATTCTAATATTTATTTATATTGGATTAGTAATTTCTAAAGAATTAGGTGCCCTGCTAGAGACTGTGAAAAACAATGAATACAGCATGTCTATCTTAAAGTAAATGAAATAGTACTTGACTGAGAAAAAATGTAATCATACCCAAAAACAGTATTAGCTCCTTATGAAATTCTTGTGTATATAAATGAAGAGGAAGATAAATTGGTTTCAGAGATAATTGATGATATGAACGACTATCAATAGGAATAATTAATAAGTAGTTGGTTCTGTTGATTTAGGTTCATAAAAAAAATAAGAATTAAAATACTAAATGATGCTTACTAAGTTTACCTCAGCATTACAAGCAGATGAATTACTATTGTTATCGAATGAAGCCAAATTATCAGAAGATATCAGAATGCAAAGAGTGGATCTACTCCTAGAATTGGGACAAGTAATCCCACAATTAGAACAATTGCTTAAAGATGAAGTATTCCACACATCACTAACAACAAGTTAACAGCATTTGATTTAGAAAACAGTGAACTTGCCTTATTTCTTGAGAGTTTCAATGAGTTCATTCCTTCAAGTCCTCAAAAATTGAATGGATAGAAACAGCATTTAAAGGAGAATCCTGAAGCCATTCTCAAAGAATTTATAACTACAAATACGGATGACTCACCTTTTAACTTACTTATAAGTATAGTCTAATTTAATTAATTGCAAGGTTAAATTTAATAAAGTCAGGGCAACGGAAATATAAGCGATGCAGTATCCAAAAGCAGAGATCTAGTCAATGAAATCTAGAAATCACTATAGTCAACGATTAAATCCAAAAAAGACTTGATTGAAAATGTTAAGCAAAGTCTCACTTAAGATAATGAATAATGGAAATTAGATGTTTTGTATTACTTTAATATTAGATTGCTTCTATTGAACCTATAGCTAAGATTACTAAAGAGAAGCTCAATTAGTTATAAAAATAAAAAGATGAATTGTAAGTGATGTTGAAGCATTAATAGACCGAATTTAATGAGTTGTAAGAGAACATCGATAACTATTATGTAAATATATAGTTTATTATAAAGACATCATATTCATCCAAGAGATTGTAAGATATGAATAATCTAAATATCATAAGAATGATTAAGTAGTTCTATTCTGAACATTTAGATGTTCTAGAAGATTTTATGAAATCTAAAATGCAGTGATAAACATTTTATATAAAAGAGTTAACTTAATAAATTGTTTATGTTTATATTTATATTCAAAATAAGTGAATATATATAATCATCCTTCTATTTTAAAGATCTTTATTTCTCTTATTAATTGATCTGTACTTTTTAATTGAATAAAGTAAGAATATTATTGCCAGAAATCGACTGATTGGTATCTCTTAATAATATTTGGTAATTCATTTATAACTTTATAATTGAATGAATCTATCTATAACATATAAATAGCTAAAATATCATATGATAGAATTAACTTAACTGAAGTAATTGTGCATAATAGATTTCATTTTATTATAATCTAATAATATATGCTATTTATTTTATCATTATAACTTCTGGTGTAATAAATATGATCGCAACTATATTGAATTAGTATTATAATATAAGTATTGGTTTATGGAAATACCTTCAGAGAATTATATATAATTTAATGATGTTATATAAAATTGTTTCAATGGATGAACAAATTTCTTTTTAGTCTTTTAAATGAAATTTCTTTATATAGGTAATTTGCAGCTACTATATCTTAAGGTTTTGGCTACATTAGATGTAAATTTCTATTGATAGTACATAACAATTTTATCCTTCATCTTCCAATTCAATTTATAAGCTTAATTTCTTTTATAACTTAAAAGATTAATTTGGATTAAATTTTTGGATATCATATTAGTTATTAACAATTGTCATTTTTACTGACTTCATGTAAACGAGGCAGTTTTAAATAATAGTTTATAATTAATAGTTCGTAAATAAAATAGATACAAGGTATCAAATTTAAAGGATTATAGTTTGAGATATCTTCATTTCTAAATGAATAGAATAAATGAAATTAAATCCATCTGCAGTAGAATGAGAATAATTCAATTTTCTTATATTTAATACATTTGGATATTCTAGGTTTAAAAATATAAAGATGAAATTGATAATTTATATTTCGAGGGATTTCAAAGCACTTGAGAATAAGGATTAGGATGAAAATCAAACTCTGAATAATTAAAATTAATAAATTGAATTGACTATCTACTAAATACTCTTAGGGTGTCAATAAATGTAATAAGATTGTATTAATAGCATTAGTATTTGATCATGTTATTCTATTTTAATAATGGTAACGCTATTATTTTTGTGCAATAGTGATTTCTTCATTTGCATTTACACTCCAATTCATGAAAATAAAAGCTGTAATATGAGATAGTATACAAAAACAATTTAATATTAAATTAAATGGATAATAGACAGGGGATTGAGATGGAAGATGAGTTTTTAGCATTGTAGAGTCCTTAGCCCTTGTTTTAAAAGATTGATTGCTTTGTAACTTTGGGGTAATACGATTTGGATGAGGATGAAAATGAAAACTTTCCTCAGCATATTCAAATAGAGCAGCCAGAAATTAAAAACTTTAGGCTTCATAAATTTTTTAATGCTGAGCCTGAAGTTAATTAATTTGTTTAAAAGCAATAAGAGGTTCAACACGAGCCAAGAATGAGACCTTAACGCAAGATGTCTCAGAGTTTGCCTTCCTTTATGGAAGAAATAGACACACTAATTTCTCAGGCTATTGAGAGATAAAACGTATTCTTGGAATAATAAAAGTATAATGTAAACAATAATGGTTATTTAAATTTAGGATGCTTTAAATAACATTGACAATTTTACTTTTTTGGAGCAATCTCTATCTCAACCCCAAGTTTTCAAATCCTTCTATTCCCAATACATCCGAACTATCAATAAGTTAAAATTGTACAGAAAATAAAAACGGTATGTATTGTTTACGACTATAATTTTAGATTAGATGTTAAACAATTCATGGCATTTGTTTGCTCTTTAGGGATTGAGTTCATCTAAGAGACCTTCAATTTAATTCACAAGGCTGATAGCTCATGGTGTTTTGAATTGCTCAAACTTGAAGGTCTCACGCAATAAATGCAAGTAGAAAATCAATAGCAATTACTATAAGATTGTAAATTATAGAAAACCTAATTTCAATAACAACCTTTTTCATAGAAGTAACATCATGTAGACATTAACAAAGAGTAGTATAAAGCATAATCAATATAATCAGTTGAATAATAATAGCATGCTGTCAATTAATAGAGTCAATAATAAAGTGCTTTAAGCATTGTAAATGAAGCCATTGAAAAGAAAGGAAGAAAGACTTGGTCAAATAAGGAAATGGAAACCTTGCAAAACTTTATAAATACTTACCAAAATAGTTCAATTACTAATCAATAAATCTAAGATTTGTCAAAGTAATTGGGTAGAACTTGGTATTCTGTGCAATCCAAAATACAAAAGCTAAAAAAGAATGTCTAAGATCAATTGAGTGATGTGAGAAGTTAGAGTATGAAGGATGATCCCTCAAAGGAATAATTAAAGATGTAAAGAATCAGCACTAAATATGACTATACTGTAGAAGATATGATTAAGATAACCCTGCAATAGTTGGAAGGCAAATGTGGAACCAAATAGAAGGTTATTGAATCTATTAATCAAAACTTCTTCAATGGATAACTATCCGAAGATTCGGCTTGTTTGAGATCGATCTCAATAACTCTATCCAATAATAGAAGCCAATTTATTAGGAAAATAAAGGGGTACTTTGGTCTAAATGAGAATTATTAAGATAGAGGGGAGGACGACAATAAAATGAGGAATAAATTAGTATGGATTTTACAAAATCTACCAGAAAAAAGAGGTACTCTACAACAAATAGTTGCATCTTATACTGAAAACTCATTTTTAGATGAAGCCAACAATAAGAAATTATAAAAATAGATAAGCTAGACCTTAAGACTCAGCAATCGATTTGATAAAAGAAATGCTAAAACAATATATAAAATACAAGATTGAATTTAATAAATGTTTTTGTGCATATGACTTAGTTACGATATTTGAGTAATTTTACATTATCATTATATTACTCTATCAGAATTCAATCTTTGTCTTTCTCTATATTTAATAACAATTACAGTTTTTATAACTTTTTAATCTAATAGCAATATTATGTAGTTTATAAGAATATTATAACCATTAACACTACAATTCTTGAGCCCTCCAGTATGATTCTTTTTTTATTAATAATAAAATAAAGTATTAGTCTTAAATGTATAAGACGTTTGAGAATGGGAATAGTTATTCTTTATTATTATAAAATATCATGAATACACCGTATATTCGATTTAGAAGAATTGGTTAAAATGAAATATTTAATTATGATTGATATAAAATGAATATATCATAATCCGTAAGGGTTATCGGGTACATAGGGAGGAGGTTACTTTGCTTATTAATATTAATTTGGTTAGGGTTGCATTCCTATAGGGTTCTCTGGTTCTTAAGGGGGATACTAAAATTGGGGCATCTGTTGATTGAGTTACTATTATTAAGCATCATTAATATGTTATCCTAAGAAATTAGTGTTGGCAAGTCCTTAGATAAATTTAGATTAGAATCCAGCTTATTAGGGGGGATATCCTTATTATTACTATTAATAATTAGGAGGAGGGTACATTTATTATTATTAAGGATAGGTTGATTGTTATTGGTTAGGATATTAACTTAATTATTATGAAGGATAAGGCGGCTATTGTGGCTGGTATATTTATTAAGGTTAAGTATATGGGGGAGGTGGTTATTAATATTACTATGGAGGAGGTGGTTGCTAATATTGCTATGGAGGTGGAGGTTATTAAAATTACTGTGGTGGTGGTATGTTGGTAAAGGATGATTATTGAGGGATTTAAGGTACTGATTATTACTATTATGGTAATTAATTGGGTTGCATAATCTACTATTATAAGCCATATTGCTATGAATATTAATTGACATCAAATTATCCTAAATTAATTACTAAAGAGAATAGATGATAAATATTACAATTTTTGGGTCCAGGCTTTCTACCGACCAGGAGCATGTAATTAACTAATTGATCTGGCAATTCTTGTAAGACATTTTTGGCTAAGAGTTCTGGATTATTTTTAAATTAATTGAATGGTACAAATTAGACCAAATCTCTTTAAGTTCTCCTTCCAAAGGAATCATGTAGATTGCCATCATCATCATCCAAAATAGACATATTGGTGAAGTCTGCATCTCCAACTCCAACAATTATAATAGATAATGGAAGATGAGAGGATGCTACGATGGAATCAATAGTTTGCTATAAGATTTTGAGATTAAAATATACCTTCATATCATGAATTTCTCCATCAGTTAAAATAAATAATACAAAGTATGTATTAGAAGCCATGTCTTTACAAGTCTATGCTATTCTCATGGATTCTTGGATGATCGGATTGAAATAGGTGGGACCATCAAATTGAACATTCCTCACTGCATAATTATAGGCTTGCATAATTCCATCCATCTGCAATACTTCTGGATCTTGAGGATTCCCATTTAAAGGGAAGCAATGCAGAGTCTAAGGGGTGTTCAAATTGTGGAGTCTTGGTTTACATCCAAAGCCAAAGATTGGTACTTTTTTGTCGTGATCATAATTCAATAGGATTTCTCCAACAGACAATAGTGCTTATTGATATTGGTTCATTCTATGATATTAATCATCAATATAATGAAGTGAACTGGGATTTTTAGGAGATTGATTGGAGGCTGTGAAATCAATGGCAGCAATTAAGTTGATTTAAGTTCCACTTTACAAATAGTCTAAGAAACTAGGTTTTTCAATTAATTTAAACTAGAATTTAGTTAATATAGATTGTTACTTCATTGAAACAAATTTGACCGGATTGCTTTTTGTTTTTATCAAATAATATTTTTTTAAACATCGGCTTTCCTTATAATTCATCTACTGAAAATTCAGTAGAACAAATATGCTCATGATTTCCAGAGCTTCTGTAATCCCAAACTTCAATTTTGATAGGCATATAATAATCTCCATTGCATAATTTCTAAGATTATATATCCACTCTCTTCCAGACTGGTTTTAAAGTGCTTTTAAGAGGTTCACTCTCATAAACTAAGAGTTATTAATTAGTATCCTTCCTTATTCGATAGAGTCTGAAAAAGGGGGATGTGGTATGCCAAGGTAAAAACCTTGTGTTTGGTATGTTATCAGCACCTAAATTGAATGTAATATTTAGATAGTACTTATTTACATGATGATTTTATCATTTATCATTCTAACCTAATCTGCTCTGACTACAAGCACTCCTGTTTTCTTATGTCCATTGCTTAAATTTAACATCAATAATTGATCCCTGGCTCCTGCTATATTGGCTAGTGTAGTTTCGGCACTTCCAATAAACTAAATGTCTAATTTAAGAATCTACATCGAATTTTCCATTTCCATCGTCGTCATTGCATACAAACTTAAGTGGCTATTAGCATTCAAAGTAATATTCAATTATAAATGTTTTGGCAAAGTTTGGATTCAAGTTGTCTTAAATGATTTCTGTTCTTCCCACTTTCTGACCATTGGTTATTTCTTTTCACATACATTATCACGTAGGGATCGCTATTTTGAAAAGGTGTCCATGTTTGCCAATCCACGACAACTGATGAACAACTCTAATTTCTATTGGGATTCCATAATGCTTGCACTTCTTCCATATAAGTCATTCATTATTAAATATTATGTATAATTATTATTATTACATAACACAAAACAAGTTTATTAAATTTATCAAAATATATCACACTCAAAAAGCTAAATCAAAGGGATTATTATTAAATTTATATTTTATGTTAAAAAAGTACTCTTCATTAGCCTAGATGCAACAAGAGAGTGCCAGATCTGATAGGTAGTATCCAGTTTTGAATAAGATTTCTGTACGCTTATCGCAACAATGTCTATGATCTAACACATTTCGTAGATGATCACCCTGGAGGAAGGTTCTCTCTCTAAACATTCAAGGGCAAAGACTTAGAAAATGTACGCCCATTCATTTTTAACCCAGATTCTATTCAATGCATCCATACACAGACACTAACCCTCAGTGCTCTCCTCCCTAGAGCAATATAAATGTGGTGTAATTGAAGTCAAAACTCCTCAGGACAACAAACCAAAACCCCAAGCAGCTCAGACAGCCAAAGCCAACCCTCCCTAAAAGAAAGAGCAAATCAGCAAAATCTAATTGACAGACGACAAGACCAATAAATCAAATGTCACATCACAATCGAAAATCAGTATTTAATAAAACAGCAATTTACTGTCTCCTGACTCAAATCAAATCAAGAAATCCAACTTAAAGCAAACCTCAAAAACAAAACCTACCAACAAGGCTGAAAGCATTATCGCAGAATCAACTAAAACTATTAAATCAAAATCAGATTTAAATATTTTAAATCACTAAAAGTTTTAAGACTCAAACCAAGGTTCGTCCAGTCAAATTTCCATTGCAACAAATCCCAAAATTTCATTGCAATCTCCATAGGTAATCCACGAAGAAGATGAATCTTAACCCTCCCCAATAAACAATGCCGATAAATATGAATGCGGACTCATACCAGAAGATATTATCAACTTAAAAGTGCCCATCCTAAATTACAAACTTACTGGCTTTCTTAATCATAAAAATCCCCTCAAAAATTGATATATGTATTTCTATTTTGTTATGTAATATATAAAAATTGTAAATGAATCTTAAGTTCCATCAAGTTTTTCCATAACTTTAAGTTGCGATAACAGATGATGTAACTATCAGAGTCAAAAATCATTTAACTTATAATGATTATAAATAACACATAAATAAGACAATTCATTTAAATAAGTGAAATAATATAGCATCGCATTGGAGTAAATCCTACACAATAGGTTTGTATTGTTAACAATGAACTCTTTATTACAAAATTTAACGAAGTAAATGAACAAATTCTAAATATGATAATTTAAATGAAATACATGCATCTGATTTTGAATTTATCAGCTCAATCATGTTCTGTTCTCTAATAATCATTATGGAAATTACTATATAAGCGAATTGATTTATTGATTTATTAAGTATTGAGCATTTGCATTCATTTTGAATTTTGTCGATAGGATCTTCAGAATTGCCCAGCGAAGACATGTATCATCGACCTTAGACTCAAAATGTTATAAGGTTTATGCAAAATTGCTTAAAAAGTTGAATCCAGATTGAGAAATATTTTAAGTATTCTAATCTGTCGTAATCATTGATAACAATTATTCTACGGTCAACCTAGTATTAGGATTTGGATCAAGCATCCCTTTAAGCAATGGAATGAATATTGACTTAGGCATTATCAACATTGGATTATTGACATAATTTTGGAGGATTTTCTTTAATTCAGATTCTTTGTCATGGTAAAAGGGAACATTCCCATAAATGAGTTCATGCATAGTAATTCCGACCGACCAAACATCAGACTAGAAACTGTACATATCGTTGAGCAAAGATTCTGGAGCCATATAGAGTGGTGTGCCAAATGATGATTTTTATAACTCCAAATAATTTATATTAGCACTAAACCCGAAATCGGCAAGCTTAGGTATACAGTCGTGCATCATGATATTTGGAGGTTTGATGTCTCTGTGTATTATATCTATTGATTTGGGATTATAATTACTCTTAGATTTCAGTTCCTTCAAAGCCTACAGTAGTTGATGGAAAATTCTTAACAACTATTAATCCGATCGATTCTTGACAAATCTCAATTCTCCTTCGTTGCAGTATTCAGTTATGATGTATTGATTGTTTGGAGTGTAAATGTAATTGATATACTGTAAGATGTAAGGTGATTTGAGTTTCTTCAGAGACTCAATTTCATTATTCAACATCTGTCTTGAGAAATTCGAGTTCAACCTGGAATTCTCTATAACCTAATCATATTGTGACATTCTCAATTACTTTGATTGCAACTTCCTATCCAGACCTTCTGTCCTGGCCTTTAAACACAGAACTGTATTCTCCTTAGCCGAGACAGTCTTCTAATCGATATTCGAAGTCGTTTATTATTTTTTTGGGAGACTACTTACTTTATGATTGGATATTTTTTGGTGACAGCATATTTTCTAACATTAAAGTTTCAAATTTAATTATTATTAAGTATTTTGGATTAGATTTTAATTAAAAATGAGCCAACCTCATGGATCTTCTATCATAAGCAAAGACAATCCAAATCAAGCTCCAAGCAAAAATACAACCAATGTATTTACAGATTTATTGTTCTCAACCTTTTACACTGTCATTGGATATGTTTGTCTAGATGTCGTATTTGGTATCAGTTTGCATTACATCGCACAACACAACGATCGTTACTCTGTGGCTGGACTAGGATTTGCTTATACAATAGTAAATGTGCTGCTAATTCCAATGGCTTTTGGTAATTCATCATCCAAAGTGATTTAGGAACCAATTAATCATTGAATGTGCATTCTGCTCAGGCCTTGGGAGCAAACAAACCTAAGTTAGCTTAAACATATTTTACATTAACTACCCTCACACATTTACTATACTTCATCCCCTTCTCAGGTATGTCCTCATCACATTTTCATAGTTATTCTCATATTGATCAAACCCATCATAGCATTAACGATTAATGAAGAAGATAGAGAAGCCACTTCTGATGCCTCCTAGCTCTATTTGTATTACTTGCTGCCCTCAACTCTCTTTGCCATTCTTTATGAATGCATCAAAAGTTTCTTGATATCCAATAAAGTATAGTGAGACCTTTTTAAACTAGATCTTTGCTGTCTTCATGTACATCCAACTATTTACAGCCATCATCCATATTTTCTGGTGTGAATTATTCATAGACTATCTAAATGTAGGTGGAGGAGTCCCAGGAGCAGGTTTAGCCATCATTTGCACCGAAGCCCTTAACCTAATACTTTGTATCTTGGTAATCGTTTGTACTAAATATCGAAAAAAAGTATTCTCCAATTACAGATTCAAATTTTCATTCAAGAGATAGAAGAAGATCTTTAAAAGCTTTCTGAAAGAGTCATTCCCTATTATTGCACATATCTATGCTGACTTTTTTGTATTCTTTCTCCTAAGCTTCATCGCTGTTGGATTCGGGTCTGATGAATTATATGCCTAAATGGCTCTCTCAAACACATCAACATTTTATTACAGATTTCCCATGTCCTTATCTTTGGCCTTGATGACTTTTGTGGGCAATGAAATGGGTTCCCAGAATATCAAAAGGGCCAAACGCTACTCCTTGGTTGGTATGATTTTATTTGTTGGATTCACTACCATCTTTATGGTTACATTGACTTTCATCAAGGAGCAATGGGTTGACTTTTATTCTGCAGGGAGAAAAGAGATCAATGACATAATGTTGGAGGTATACCCTATTTTCGTATTTGGCTTTTTTGTTATTGATGGTTTACAAGGGACTTTGACTGGGATTCTTAAAGGTATTGATAGGAAAGACTTTGTGACATATTCTACACTGTTAGTATACTATTTAATTGGAATACCATTGTTTCTATATTTTGCCTGTGATTTTGGTTTAGGCCTGAAGATTTATGGCATATGGCTATCGTTTAGCTTAGTAAATGCTCTTTTGGCTGTTTTGTATATCATTTTGACTTTTACCACTAACTGGGACAAAATGAGTTAACAAATTTGCTTAAGGATTGAAAAATAACATGCGATGCAAAATCTGAATGATTCTTTGAACAAGGTTTAGATAGACAACGATACGAAAGTAAAGAAGGGCAAGAAGATCAAATAAACTAAAGTAAGGATATAATTATAAAAATTTAGAACAATAATAAATAAAATTAATATGAATAAGCTTCATCCGAAAATAATTATTAAAAGTTGATAGCAAATCAAATTAGACTAAGAGGATCAGATAATGAAGGGATGCAATATAGTCTCTAGGAAACTGAACCAACAAAACGATAAAAAATAGTAATTGTTGATCAATTGACAAGTCTTTCTTGATCACAGTGTAATATTGATGAACTCATTAAATATTATTAACTTTAATTAATATAAAGGTCTTACTCTCTACTCTTATTGCATACTGAACTGTAAGATGATGTCACAAAATTCGGGTCATTAATAAAAAGGCAAGAATTTAAAATTTATTTGTATCTGGTTGTGTTTTATATAAAAGAGGTATCATTATATGTTAATATCTTGTAATTATTGTCATAGTCATTAAAACACTCTTTATCCCCTCTTTACTGAGTTTGAAAATCTAATAGTTTTCCCAAAGAGCGTTTATTTGCTTTGTAATACTAAAGCAACTTAATTATACTTTTCTTTTGGTGTTCTCAATTGTCCAAATTAAATATCTTTATTAAAACTTCGATTGCTACTAGAATAGCAAAGTTTTGGTGGTGGAGAGGGACTTTTTGGTTCTGATAGTGCTGGTTTTTATTAAGTATCGACATCACAGAATGTAATTTTTTTGTACTTCTTAATGTTTGTTTTTTTGTGTATGATTGGAGTAATACATTATGTGGTTGATTATTTGGAGTAGGTTTAAGATTATTTTGTACTTTTAGAATTACACAATCCCATTAATTTAAAGAAATTAATTGAAGTTTAATTGAAAATTTATATCCATTTAATAATTCAATTTTTTTAATCTCTATCCAGTACCATAAAATATACATTTTTTATTTTTCTATTAGTTTCAGAAACAAATAAAACACAAACACATTCACAATAGTACCAAGACAACCACATTACTCTTTGCTTGAGTTTTTAGATAAACAAAATAATATTATTAATGTTCTGAATTCAATTATAAACATTTATATATATAATACTCTATCATTATTGTTTGAAACTAATCTCGTAATCTTGGAATCCATTCTTCTTGGCTTCGTCTAGATACTTGTATAGTAAGGGTCTCGAAACATTGTTGATGTATAAAGTGGTCAAATATGTATACATAAAAGTAACACTTGAAGCGACCAACAATCCTAAATATAAATGCTTATAATGGTTGAGATGTTCAAACGAGTTAGTGTAATGTGGTTTGAAAACATATTTTAAAAGCAAATGAAATCCACCGACTGCACCTATTAATGTCCCTCCTAAACCAAAGGCAAAGTAGGCAGAATATTTTGAGATTCTGAATTAGTCATCTTCTTCCAAATGGACATACTGCTTGACTGAATTAAATTTATAAAATATTTTTGATTCATATGGGTGATCTATGAAGTTGTTGCCATAAGGATTCAGTGGATGATTTTCACTCATAAAGGGTGTTTGTGAACGAAGAGCATTATTGTTATTATTTTTAATCATAATAAATATATTAATAAATGATAATGAAACAATGAAATTAACTGATCTCATGATTCGATTTCTTCATGCAAAAGTAATGTTAAATGAGTATCCGAAGTGATCTCATACTCCTGTAACTTTGCATCGTCATCTAACAATGTTTTTTCAAGAAATAATGAAGATCTCTCTGATTCAATACCACATTTTGATTTTACCTCCTCTATTTTCATATTGGGTTTAGCTTTAATGTAATACATATTGTGATTTTGGTCTTGTATTGTCAGCAATACTAGTTTTCTTTCCTTGCGAGATCCACACAGCAAACAAAAAAAGGTTCCTAAGACGCTGAGCATTAAGAAATTATAATTATAATTAATATGAAACGACTCATATAAACGTTTAAAATCAATCACAAGAATAATTGTAGATAGAACAAATCACAACTGCCTTGATATCAAGTTAAATTGCATTTAATACAACATTTCGATTGATTGATTCACTATATTTGTGCAAACTAATCGTAATACATATATATATTGAAGAATACCAACTATATCTAGTACTTATTTATTCTATGACATTATTCTAAAATGATTAATATGAGTGTTTGGATATATTATAAACAATCAGAGTTATTTCTTAATGGTTTATAGTTTCTTCTATTTCTTTCTATCTTTTTACACTGACCTTAATTGTTTCTAAGATTTCTTAAGTTCATGCTCCATTTCCTTTTTTCTAAAGACGTCCTACTATTAAATTAGTCTTTTACTTCATAGGCATCTTGCTTGGTAGCCTCAATGATAGGGGGTATTACAGAATCTCTTTTTTTCAATTTTCTCAAGGCCCAATCCTTTTTATTTTCATCCCAAACCATTCGACTATTAAATTTAAATTCTGGACAATATACTTTTTTTTCTTTTTTGCAAACTTACTATCCTTTACTTTCTAAATGTAAGTTTGTTATCTTGGCAAAATAATATTTTCTTTGTCGTAGGGAAGATCTGTTTCCTATTAACCTTCAATCAATCTTTGGGAGACATATTTGAGCTACTCTGATACTTTATCGGCAATGATGTCAAAATCGTATTGTTCTACTTTTTCCAAAGCTGTTAGGGTAAGCTTCGGTTTATCAAATAGGATGTTAATATTTGAGGTCATTTTAGGACTTAAATAAATAATAAATAAAATGAATATAAAGTTAATTTTCATATTTTTAGTGTTACTTGCACAAGGAGCTTTTGGTATATAAAAATATAATAGCAAAAGGTGTTGTAACCAAGGTGACCGAATGCTAGGCTAAATGTGATAAATAAGTGAATGGATGCATCTACTCATGTGCTTAAACATAGTTGCGATAATCGTTAGTGACTCAAGAAAGATGTTAAAAACTATGTGCAGGAGTAAATAAGGAATGCAAAAACACAAAATGCTACTTAGATCCTTGATTAGTTATTTTACATATTTTAAAAAACGTATTATATATATTCTCTAACCCCTTTTATCTATTTTTATTAATAATTTCAATGACCTAGGATGACTATACCAATCATGTTGAAGAAGTTCTAATCAGAATCATCTTGATTACCAACACTCTGAGTGCAGTAGGAGCGACTTTGATGATCCTGACGTATTTCAAGTATGGATTGTTAAATTAATAGATTTAAAGAACTGCAAACATTTGCATTTCGAATAGTCCTCTATCTTAATATCTCTGATGTAATCTTGGCCTTATCAAATATGCTATTGGTAACTGAAGATTTCAATAATGAGAACCCTATATTATGTCTAATTTAAGCGTATCTCATTAATGCATCCTAATTGTCATCAATAATGTACAGAGTCAAATTTATAAAGATGGACTGCCATCATAGCATTTATTTTATATTAGTCATGTATCAAGAATCAAAACGAGCAGGCATTGAATGTTTGCGGCTACTTATTAGTTGGATTTTGTATCCCATTTTCTATTTCGATCTATCCATTCTTCACTCATGACTATGGATTCGCCGGTATCAGTTGTTGGATCAAAGAAGATGTAATTAAGTCATACCAATCTTAGATTACCAATCCTGTGAGAAGCACTATCATTAGATACATCAATTTCTATATTCCATTAATTGTGATCATCCTCTATAACTCAAGTGTGTACGTATACATCATATGCAAATTATATGGAATATCACAATAATAAACCAAATTTATCTATAAAATGGTATCTTACCCATTGATATTGATAATATGTTGGATATTTACAGCATTCAATAGAACCTATGAGGAAATCGCATAATAATAATATATATGGTTGCTCTACCTCTCAAAGGCACTATCTGGTTTGATGGGGTTTTTCAATTACCTAGGCTATGGGTTCACTCCTTAAGTAAGGGATTCTTGTTCTCTCTATTGCTGCTAAAAGAACACAAAGACCTTCTCAGTTGAGTTAGAAATGAAGCATGAATAATCTAATGAAAATAATCAAAATACTGAGGAAGTAGACTCAAGAAATTCGGTGAATTCACAAAGAGACAGCGTCTAAGGAGAATTAAGTTTTATAGCTGAATTGTATTGATTCGATATGTTTATATATTTATATTGTTTTCACTTAGCATCCAGGTCCTTGTTTCTTTTAGTTCTGACATTAATTTTTGGTCCCAGGGAAGTTCCATCAATAAAAAAGGGGAATTCATCAACATCTAAATCCTCAATATACACTTGATCTAATTTGTCTTGGTACTTCTAATCAATCAAACCGGTTGATCTGAGTACTATTGGAATGAAGGGTTTATTGGCAAATTATTATTTATAATCTTCGTTGTAGAAGAGAGGTTTAAGAGTTTTGTGAATTTCATTTTTTGTGATTATCTTTCTGATTGTAATTTCATTCCAGAATGGATTTTATAAAAATTCAGCATAATCTTCTATTACGATGTCTCCAAATCGATTGTATAGCACATAAACATTTCTGTTATCTCTAAAGATTATTCCCAAGGAATCATAATGAGGATATGGTTTAGTGAATTGAGAATATTGACATTTGATTATATCGCTTACTGAAATACACTCCATGCATTCGAATTTCATAAACACCAAATCGCCAGAGTCCAATCTATCCAACACAATTTGGTCTGCCCTGAATCCGTAGCTTAAACCAAAGTACTAATTTTGAGGACGAGTATTGTCTTTGAACTCTACTTCGTTCTCCTTTTTGATTTATAATTCCCTTTTATTTTGATATGCTGTGTACTGCAAGTAGCCATAGCCAGTTATACCAAATATTCCAGATGTCAATAGAAATGGTTTTATATTATTTTTAATAAAATTCATTATTGAATTCATTTATATCATCCATATTTCTATTTAAACTCTCCTGCCAATTCCTATCTTTATTAAAGGAAATGCTTTTATCCCTCGCTGAAACGTGTTTAGAATACTATCTATTGAAATATTTAATTAAACACATTACATCTTTGGTTTTCCCGAAATAAACACTATCCAATTAAGAACGGAGATAGCTCTCCACATCTTCCACCAAAGTCCCGATTTTCATAATGTGGAACAAATCTAAATCCTTATTACCTGCTGGAGCCTCAAAGGATTCCTCTTTCTAAAAAATCAATAATGATGAGTACTTATTTGGTTAATGTGCCTGTTATATTGAATTTGCCAACATCTTGGTTTTCGATGATATTCATTTCCAAAACAACCGATGTAGTTATCTTGTAGGTCCACTTAGATTTCCCGTCTGTCTTAATATCAATCACATTAATCGAACTCCAAGACCCATCCTCAATTCCCTTACTTTTTTCTACATTTTTCCTTATCAACCAGGCTGTTGCAAATCCACCATCCTCTTTATCCCAAAAGTAGCATGACGACAATCCTCCTTCATAATATCTTTACATATATCATATAAGTACAATCTCCTGTATTCATCGAAGACAGCATTGGCCTTGATTTCTAATTTACGCAATGCTTCTGATGGATAAACTGCATCATCAATTGCAGGATAATATGAATTTGTAAGGTAAGATCTAAATGAATCTCCATCCCTGTTGAATTCAGATTATATAAATTGATTCCCTTTCTCGTCTTATCCAATATCTAAATTTTTCATCAATCTCATTACCTAAAGGCTTATCTATTTTCTAGTATAACTCTTCGGCATAATCTGGGATCAGCGAGGCTAGTGCTGCGGCATTCTTCTGGATCTGAGTTGGAGGCAACCTTTTTAGGATGTTCAAGCAAGAGACGATTTTTTCTTTCGATTCCATTATTAATTAATAATCATTACAATTGTGATTTATATACAACTAATAAAGCTAGCGAGGCTGCCAGGGTCATCCCATAGTGAGCCATCAGACAAGTAATGAATCCATACTTTTCTCGGATATGCTCGAAGGATCCTCCGATTGACATAAAATATGTTGAAAACCCAATAGCGAATTCCCAATCTGATTTAAATATCTTCAATAACATTATGAAATGGAACAATGTGTAGAATAGATGAATTAAGGACCTGTAGTTCTCACTCTCCTTATACGTTTTCATCAAAAACAACCGCCTTTATTAAATGGAATTCATTACCAATACCATTCCTCCAAAAATGGATTGCATATTATCAATACCAACATAAATGCTCCAATATATGCAGGGTGTTCCAACAGAGGAATCTTCAAATAATCCATGATCTCTTCTTCCCAATAATATGTGAAAATTAACGATAATAAAACCATTCCAAATGCACTTCTAAATAGGGAAAGCCCTCTCTTTATCTATTCCTATCTTCCTTCCAATTCATTTATGAGATATGCTATATTCTATTAATCTAAGTACCCCTTAATTCCCCTTCCTTGCTTAAAAATTTTATATAAATAGCAGGTATCACAACATAGAAAAATTACAAAACACACAAAGTAGTCAATGCCTCATCTATATAAAACAGCCCTAATCCTGTAATTAGCGAAGGTATTATTAAACACATGAAAAGATACGAATGTTACTTAAAATTCAAACCATAAAGACCTCCTAACATCTTATGGGATTAAATTAAGTAAATTAATATTTATATAATATGAAACCAATAATTATGAAGGCCTTCGATAAAAAGTATAAGGTTAAAACTGGTATTTCAATCATTGGAAATACTGAATAATGTAATATTCAAGTTCCATTGCCTGAATGTTTTAAATTGAACTACGATTCAAATATTTTATGGATTCAACCAATCATAAATATTCATAGAATTAATGGCCAAGGAGATGCTCAACTATTAAGGATAGATAAGGAATATGAATTAGATTTGACAACAGGTCAAAAACATATCATCGTACAAGAACAAACCTTAACCTTTGAATATGTGAAACCCAAAAGCATCAAAATCAATCTCATCAAACAAAACAAACCAAATCTAACAATTATAGAACCATCAATCAACAAGAAGATTTAGAATGAATCAAATGACTAACCCCTCACAAACTCATAGAAATCCAAAACCTAACCTAAACATTATTTATTAGTTTAAAATTATGTATAAATCATCATTCATCATTAGATTAAATAATTGAATGGAGAATACAGAATCAAATTTTCTAACTTTGCAGTTTGCAATGATGACCTCCTTAAATTATTAAAAATGGGCATTTATGTTGATATAGAATAATATAACATTTTGGTTATGGAAACATTCAAGAGAACTTTTAATCTCCTTTTAGCGATCAATGAAGGGAAAATGATTGTCAATTCTTAGTGGATTAAAGATTGTCTCTCCACAATGCAAATTTAGAATCCCTATCTTTACGTTTTGAAAAAAAATAATTTAAGTATCTTGAATTCCATTGAAACTTCATTGTCACAATCAATTTTCCTAAATAAGTAGTTTAATTTGAGCCAGGATTTGAAATCAAATCTTAAAAATGAAGAAATTATTTAATTGATAGAGGCAGGAGGAGGATCTATTGGAAATGGAGAAAATTCAATCAAAATAGTAAACAATGGTGAAGCCGGAGGGTTGGAAATAGAACAACTTTTATAAATGATCTTGTTTTAAAGAGTTTGATTAAATTTGTTATAATTTAATATTTTTATCATGAATTAAAAACTTTGGATCTAAATTCCTAATGAAATAAGATAGAGAAATGACAAATCTATCTTAAAATCTGAATTTATTAAATTGAAAAAAAATAAAGCTAGAATCTTATATGGTTATGATCATTACATTCTACTTGCAAAAGTATTTAAGTATTAATCTATTACACCAGAAACCAGATTAACCTCCGTGCAAATATCTCAAACTTGATTTTGAGACCAAATTTGAAATAATTAGAACACCTGTTCAAAAAAAAGACGAAGATGATGACTCTTTGGGCCAAATAATTGGATTGAATTTGATGAGGGAATCTGGTCAAGGAGAACTTCCTACCTACAAATTATAAGGAAACGAAAAATTAATAATTTAATGGAGAGAATTTTTTCAATCAAGAATAAATTAATGGCAATTTCATTAACTTTTTAGAGTCTTCAAAAAAATTGGAAAGGGTAATTTTGCATCTGTATTTATTATATTCAAATCTTTAGGTTTATTTGGTGGAAAGAATAGAAGACGGTGTTTAAATGGCGATCAAAGCTTTTTGCAAATAAGCTGCCTATGCTGAAGAAAATGGGAAATAAGCTATTGTAAATGAATTATCAATCATGAGAAAATTAAATCATAATCATCTTATGAGAATGCATGAAATATACGAAACAAACAACTCTTTATATGTGGGATTAGAACTGTTGTAAGGGGGCTCACTCTACGATTTGATCAAGGAAAAAGTTATTCTTTCTACCAAATAAATACAATAGATTTTAGTAGGTATCCTATAAGGATTGTGCCATATGCATCAGAAAGAAATCATGCATAGAGATTTGAAATTAGAAAATATTTTATTTAAATAATCAAAGTATTTAATTTATCAAAATAATAGAAAAATGGATTCAGTTGTAGTGGCAGATTTTGGTTTAGCTACATCTGTAAACGAGCCTGTTTATTTATATTGCAGATGTGGAACACCAGGCTATGTTGCCCCAGAAGTCATCAATATGAAAGATATGAAAGGTCACTATAGTTCAGTTTGTGATATCTATAGTCTAGGCCTTGTATTTTACTTATTATTAACAGGTAAACCACCATTTCCTGGTAAGAGTTATGCAACAGTTGTTAAATAAAATAGAGAAGCTAATGTTGATTTTTCAATAAAGTAATTACAAAATGCTCCTAATACTGCTATTGATCTTTTGAGAAGAATGCTTGAAAAGGACCCTTAAAAAAGGATAACTTCTTCTTAATGTTTGTAGCATCCATTTCTATAAGAAACTAATTAATTGATGCTTGAAGACAATTAGAATGATTTTATAGATGAAGGGGAAGAAAGTGATTTATGTTCAAGAATGAATGCATTAAATGAGGAGTATTAAGTTTTTTTTATAAAAGATCTGCAAAATTTGATGCCTTCAGAAGGAATTAATTAATTAACTCTCCATAATCATCTCCTGGAGTGTTGGCAACAAAACAACTTAAATAATAAAAAATTATTGATTCCTAGAACTCTTTGTAAATGAATTCACCTCTATTTAATGGAAAAACTGATAGTGTTGATTCTATCCCGAATATTGGACTTCATTAAACTCAATAATAAACTACTTTTCAAGCTTCACCTATGATTAAACCTTCTCGCTTTAAATAGTAATTGATAATAATTAATATTAACTAGAACTATCCCCCAACAAATCTAATAATAAGAAAACCCATTATTAAAATATACCAATAAAAAGGAATGAAATTAGTTTATCTTTAGAGTAATTAACTTTTATTCGAATATTTTCATAATTTGAATTAGTCCAATCCCCTATTGCTTTTCACTGGTCAAATTTTCTAAATTTGACTATGGAGTCACAACATCCTTTCTCAATTTCATTTTGCGTTTTCATTTTTTGTTTGTTCTCAATTGTTTATCTATTGGCGGTAGTTTATTCTTTCAATCTTAATTGCTTTCTCCATCGTGATATAATATAAAGTAATTAATAACTTGAATTCTATTATGTGTGTTTATTTGTTTACTTATTTTTTGAAGATGTTTAGAAATCTTCTTAATGATAAATTCTCTCTATTTCTTGTTAACACAGAAACTTATTCTTTTATATTAAATGCCTAAGTTATAAACCTTAGCTGAATTTAATCAAAAATTAAATTCTTAAGAGATTGTTATAAGGATGATAAATTAAATAAACATAAATTTATTATTTATTACATTCACCGTTTTCTATTCTTAGAGAGTTCTTCCTTAAGTTTTAATTATAGCCAAATGTGCCACTTAAATAATAAAAAGAATAATACTTGATGAAACGGTAAATTGCGATTTTTTGCTTCTTAATAGAAGTTTTTTAATTTAATTTCTGCAGCAGCCATAGGATCGTCGCTACTTAAAGCAACAGCTTGAGCAGTCTACATCATAAATTTAAAATACAAGTATGAAGTATTATTAATACTAATCTATTTGATTAGGTTTTTAAGAGATAGAATTTGAAGGTGACCTAGTTGGCGTCATTCTGTCTATATCACTCATAATATCATCATATTTTTTCCTCAAATTATTTAATTCTTCAGTTTTGTTAAATTAATCTTAGAGCATCTAATTATACTAATCACTACGATAATAAAAGTAAAAATTACTTCAAAGCATTAAAATCTTATTCTCTTCTATGTAATTCTTCTTAAATTCGATTAATCTTATTTTAATAATCTTTTTTCAACAAATCCGTTTCTTTTTCTTGCTACTGAGTAATATCATTAATATTAACTGAAGAGGACTTTTAATATCCTTCAATTTTTTCATTTAACCCTGAAATATTTAATATCAGGCTTTCTATTAATAACTTATTTTTAGCCTAATTTTCTTAGCTTTCTTTTAATTATTATTCTAATTTAGAAATTTACTCTGTAGACTATACAAACTTCAACTAAACATCCTTCAAATTATTAATTGTTTATTCTATTTAACGATTAAGAATATTGATTTACATCATTGTACTAGTTCTATTTAAATATAAAAAGAAATTACTTCAGTTTATCTAGGTCATCATTATTATCTTATAATTAATTTTCTATTTCTTCTGAATTAATTATTTTCAATCCATCAGATTACTTAATTAAAAGGATTAATATTTCTGAAATGAAATTTCTAAAATTAATTAATTCTATACTTTTGCATTTCTTTTAATACACTGTCGCTATTAATCATCTCGGACAATTCGTTTATTTTTTCTATGTATTTGAATTATTCATTTCTCAATTCCAAATTCTATAACTCAAATATTCTTAATTTTTCATTTTATGTTGAGATGTTGACATCAAATTCTATTTTTTGTCCTTATAACTTTTCAAGTAATTCAAATTTATTTTCCTAAAGATCTATATCCTCAGAATTTCTTTGCTGTGATTTTATATAATTTTCAAGTTACACTTTAAATTGAGTGTCTTATGTGGCTCTCAAATTTTATTCATCAAAAAGATTTTGTTGATGCAAAACAAGTTCCTCCTTAGTAGTTTTTAAATCTTATTCTAGTTGCTCTATTTCATATGTTTTTAATGTTAAAGTTTATCTAATCTCTTAAAGACTCTTGTTAATATCTTCTATTTCTTCGTCTTTTCTCTAAATGGTTTCTTCGAAAGTTTTTGTTAATTCTTAAAAGTAAAGTTTTTCTTCAGCCAACTAATCAATTTATTATTTTAAGTTTTAGGTTTCTACAATTTAATCTTGATCTTTTTCTGCAATGATAGAAATTTGTAGTTTTAAATTTTACACTTCTAATTTACTTTCTGTTAATTACTAAGAATATATATTTTATTATGTATGAGCCTCTTTAACGAGCTAATGTTATTCGGCTAAATGAATTTCAAGTTGGAGCTTCTCTTTTTGTATTTACTCAAATAAAATTCTTAGATCTTCTAAATCTTACAAACTTTTATTTTGTTGTTATTCAAATTATTGATATTAGAGTTTGATTGAATTAATATCTTAATCCTTCAAAGTAAGCTAATTTTTTAGCTATAAAATCATGTTAGATTCTTCCTTTGAAATTGATTAAACTCTTAGTAATTCTTAATCAAGTTCATGGTTTAATTTTTGTAAGGCTTATAAGCTTATAGATGATTAATCGACAGTTTAATTTAAGTTTTAAATTATTTGTTAATCATCTTTCAATTGCTTTAAAGATTTTGATTGTTATGAAGCAGCCTCTAACGAAATATTTTAAATAATTGATTCTAATACAATTATTTATAATTATTCTTAGATGAACTATTAAGTATTCTGTTAATTTGATAAATTTTAAGCGAGTATAAGTTATTATATATTCGAATTAAGTTCTTAATTTTAGCTTTCGTATTTAACAATTTATTAATTGAGTTCTTGTATTTAATCCTTAAATAAACTAAGCTCACTTTAATGATTTTACTCATTTTGAAGCTATTCTTGTAACAATTCTTAATATAATTTGTCAGCTTCTGAATTTGAAGCACTCAAAGAAAGTTAAAGTTATTTATATTATTCGTTAAGAGATTCAAATTTAGTTTGGGTCTCCTGAAGGCTTTTCTCACTCACTGAGAGCTTTTCCTTGAGAGAGTTAATTTAATGCTCTTATTCTTTCTTTGTCACTTCCAACTCGAGTATCAACTTTTCAATTTCTTGAACTTTTTTTTACTTCTCTTCTTGTAGTTAATGTATTTTTTACTTCTCTTCCTCTAGTAAATGTATTTTTTACAAATACTCTTCATTCTAATTAATTAATTGTTCGATCTTTTTATTTAATTATTCCTTTTATTCATTCAATTGAGTCTCATTCATTTTTAACCCATTAATCTCAGTTATCAGCTAGTTATTTACTTCGATGGTTTGATTTTTATCTTATTCAATACGATTGTATTTTAATTACAAGTCTTCAATTGATTTTTGAGCATCTGAATTTGAAGCACTCAAGGAAAGTTAAAGTTATTTATATTATTCGTTAAGAGATTCAAATTTAGTTTGGGTCTCCTGAAGCCTTTTCTCGAGAGAGTTAACTTAATGCTCTGATTCCTTCTTTATCACTTCCAACTCGAGTTTCAACTTTTCACTTTCTTTCTACTTCTCTTCTTCTAATAAATGCATTTTTTGCTAATTCTCTTCATTCTAATTAATGAATTGTTCGATCTTTTTATTCAATTATTCCTTTTATTCATTCAATTGAGTCTCATTCATTTTTAACCCATTAATCTCAGTTATCAGCTAGTTATTTACTTCGATTGTTTGATTTTTATCTTATTCAATACGATTGTACATTACTAAATTTTCTTATTTTTATTTTTCAACTTCAATTTTATAACTTTCAAACTCAATTTACTTTTTAAAATATTTTTCTTTTTCAATTTCTAATTCTGTTTGACTTTTATTATCTCTGTGTTCAGTTTATTTTTTTTCGTTTTCTAAATTTGCACATTTCTATTCAATTTCAGAATATTTTTTCATAACAGCTTATAAGGTTTATTCCATTTTAGAATTAATATCATTAATACTATTAAATTCTGACTCTTGTTATTCCTTTTATTTTAAAATTACATCATACTAATTTTACAATTTATTATTTTTTTCAGTTAGGTTTTTAATATCATTATCACTCTTTATTTTTGCCATTTTAAAATCTGTTGTTATATGTTAAATCTCTATTAAGGCTTGATCTAATTTTAATTACTTATTTTCATTTCGATCATTTAATCTATCTATTTCTTATTTATATATTTTGGCTTAATCATCCATTAATTTAATCTATTGAATATTTTTTTCATTGAGATTTTTGATATCCTTAAACTATTCATCCACAGTTTCTTACAAATTATTTACTTTTTCGTTCATAAGATTCAATTACTCCTCACTTTTAAGGACCTTTATTTTATATTAATCCAATAATTTTAATTGCTCAATCATTTCAATTTTCTCTTTACTATTTTAATTTTCAAGCTCCTTATTTTTAAAATTTAACAAATCAATATTTTTTTTTTGTTCTTCAATTTCTAATTTAAATTTAAAATTCTCATCTTAAATTTTTTTCAATTATAATTCATATTCATTTACTTAAAGGAGAGTCTTTTATAATATGTCGGAAGTGTTTTATTCTGACATAAGAGCAGTCTTTAAGCTTTGATCTAGTTTTTCTTTCAACTTTTTTTTAAAAATTTCTGTTTATTCAATAGGGATATCCTTTTTTTTAAATACACTTGCATTGCTTCTTGCTCTTGTAAAAATCAAATCAGCATCAGAAATATTTAGAATTTAATTGAGGTTTATTTAATAAAGTTGTTAATCATATTATTTTTACACTAAATTATTTTATATATTTACTTTATCTATGTGCAGTTTCGGCAGATTCATGGTCCCTCAGGAATGCTTCCATTTTGTCTTCCTCTTTCAGATTTTCTGAAAAAATCTATTTATAATAAGCGATTACATAAACATAGTTCATAATATTTATTTCGATATTAGTTTAATTCCTTTAGTTATGATGCTTGTTATTAATTCTCATTTTATAAAAATTTTATCTTCATCATAAAATCTTCACTCTATTTCTTTAATTAATCTTATTCTAATGATTTTTCTTACTTGTAAGAATCTTCTAAGGCATTTTTCTCTAAAAGTAATAATTAAGTTTACCTTCTGTTAAATTTATAACCTTTTTCTCCAACTAATTTGATTTTAGATTCATCTTTTTTTAATTTGTTTCTAACTATCTAATTTTGGTGTCTTAATTTGAGATCATTTCTTTATTTTAAGACAATTCTTTTTCCATTTCTGCCTTTTATTTTTCTAACTCTTCAATTTTTATTTTTAGATTATTCAACTCTTTTTAAATGTTTTTTTTTTCGTTCTTTTCCTATTTTAAAGTTTTTCCACTATTTAATTAATTGTCATCTTCAGATTCGCTCTCAGACTCAGGGATATTATTTATTTATTTTTAGATTTATTCTAATTTTGGCTAATTCTAATAACCACCCTATCCCCTTAACCTTTTAATCGTTTGATGATCATTATAGGTCGAATAATTACTATTCTTTCGAGTTGATTTTTGAGGAGAGTTGTGAGTAAAGTTGTTAGTTATGTCAATTTAAGTAGACGTAATAATTTCCGATTGTTAATTCTTGAATAGTTCCTCATATTATTTAGACAATATCTCTTTTTCTCTTTAATTACCTAATCTAAATAAATTGAATACTTTTTAATTGCAATTCTAAAATTTCAATTTTATCTTCATAATCCTTTTATTTCATTTCGTATTATCTCAATAAATTAAATGAGGCTATGGCTTCGCTTTTAAACCTACTGTTATTTTTTTCAAGCTATTGTACTTTAGCTTAGAGACTCTATAATTACTCTTTTTGTTCTTGAAATTTGATTTCATGAACCTTTTAAATTAATTTGGATTAAAATACTTAATGATTTTGGCTTATTCTTCCTTCATTTTTTTTGATTTATAAAATTTCAGATTTCTTTTGTTGTAACTAATTTTCTAATTCTTCTATCTAGTCAAGAAATTGCTAATTTTTTTCCTAATTTTCCTCATTCAAAGTCTAGAATTTAAAATCAATATACTTATAATTGTTCTATTTAATATTGATTTTATTATATTTCTTATTTCAAAACCAAAAGATTGTGCTCACCTTAAATTTTCAGATCTTCATAATCAGCAAGAATTTTTTACTATTTTTTAAAAATGTAATCTAAATTTGTCATATCCAAATACTTAATAAATCAAACATTGTTTTCATCATCTCTTCTTTGTCTCTAATATATTTTATTAACTATTCATCCACTAAATGATACGTGTAATCAAATACATCTCATTCCCAAAAGTTAGGAATCATCTTAATAGTTATCAAAAAATGATTTTGAACAGTCTTCACTTAACTTTGCAATAAAGTAATTGATATCATCATTGCTAAAATCTTCCATAAAATTAAAGAATTTTATTAATGAATGAATAAAGTATATAACATAAAAACATTTAATAAAGAAAAGATTTTCAAGGTTTTAGAAATTACATCACAATACTTTAAATTTACTATTTTTCACTTTTGAAATATGAATTTTGATTAGATATGCAAAACATTGAGTTATAATTATTGAAAGAAATTGTAAATTGGTCAAAAAGTTGCCTAGTTATTAAAAGATTTTAGTTTCATGAATTATGTTTAGAAATTAATGCATTCGACTCTAAAATGTTTCATTAATGAAACTACATTCATCCACCATAATTTATACTCTCCTATATTATTATTAATTTGTTCCTTGATGTTTCTGACAACTAAAGTATTTTTTATATACTATGATTTCAGCAAGTCCTTTCAGAAGAATTCTAAAGAAAAAATACACATGTTCATAAAGCGAAGTCAATATAGAAAGAAGTTCTTTGGATTAAAATTGTTAAAATTTCGTTTGACCACTAAGACTCCCGAGATTTGATAAATATATTGATTAAAATAATAAATGCGCAGTATCATTTGTAACACAATTTTTTTATAATAGTCAACAATGTTTGTAACTCAAAATCATACCTTAAGCTTCCAGTATTTAAAGATAGTTAATAGGGGAAGAATTAATAAATTGCTTTATTATAATCATGATAACCTGTATAAAGGATATGAAGAACTAACAATTAATTTCATATATATTGATAAAGTTAAGCCTATTTTTAATAGCCTAATAATTTCCTATAATCATATTATTGTTTAGTTGCTGAAAATAACAATGTTTTATGATATTTTTGCCATTTAATCAACAAGTTTTAAATTAAGATAAAATAATCAAACTTGATATAAATTTGGAGAATTAGATTGATTGAGATAAATATCATATGGAGGTTATTCTTACCTATATATTTTTTTTATAAATTTAACTTAAAGGAAAGAGCATGGCACTTTATCTTATTATTCTATATTACTTCTGTAGTGCTAGTATCTTCCAGAATTCAATTCAAATTGCACCTAGTGTGATTGCATTCTTAGAGCAGCAGTTGAAAAAACTTGCAATTTAATAACAATAAGATAAATTTTACATATAAAATCTACAATTAAATTAAAATGAGTGATGCATAATTGGATTAAATTTGAACCAGAAAATAGTTGAGATTCCAATTAGAATATCTACCTAATAAACAGTGTTTAACTAATATGGTCAAACCCTCAGCCTTAATAAATGGATATCCACTTTCAGTATTAAAAAATTAAGTATGTCCCAAAGAATTTAATTGAAACTAATGGAATTCTTTAAAATGTTTACAATTCAATACATTGAGGTTATGCTCTAAGACATTTAGGCTATTTGAAGCCAAAAAAGTGTAAGAAACATAATAAATGAAAATTATATTAATCATACAAGAATTTAAACCAGAAAATAATGATAGAAAAAGAAAATTAAGGAATAAAGTATATCAATAAATCTGTCATTAGTTTTGTACCTATCAGATTGATGGCAATTTTTGTTGAAATTAAAACAAATTTAATTAATAATCCAAATAAATTCAGTATTTTCTCTGGGGTACAAACTATAAGTCAACATTTTTAATGTTCAATTGAAGATTTTTTTTGTAAATTCGAAGGAGATCTTTCTATCTGTCTATTATATATAAGTTAAATATTGTAAAAAATTTTATTAAATTTCTATCCATATTTTATTTCTTTTTTTAAATTTTAATAGTTGCTATGAATTTATAATATATGATGGCTTATTCTTAAAATGTTATATTATGATTAGAATATCAAGGCAAGATTCTCTATTTATTTAAGAATAAAAATTCAGTTATATGAGAGTGAAGAGCTAATGTAAAATAACTATAATGTAGTTTCATTTTAGATTAGATTCAGAAATTCCATATTTAATTATTTTCTTAGTGAGGAGAAAGTAATTAAATATTATTGTTACACATAGATAAAAGATTATGAAGTGATATAAAAAATGTGGCATTCTATTAATGATACATTTTTCTAGTTATGAACTATAATGAACAGGAAACATATAATTAAGGGGTTATGGAATGTTTTGTCTGATCGAATAATACTTTTTCAAGCACAAGATCTATAGATCGCTTTTAAAAGCAAGTTATAATCTTGATTAACCTGGGCTATCATTACAAGTTAGAATCAAACATACAAAAAATATATAAATACAGTATCATATAAAAATTTGATGAAATAATAAAAAGCCGTGATTATTGTAATCTTTACTATTAAATGAGGACTTCAAACGATTTCTTTTGTTAATCTAATTGACATAGATGGAATCTAAAGTTTATCTCAACTACTTAAAAGTATTCTAAAATTATTCTCAAAATTAATATTTTTATCAAATGATATCAATAACAGACATGTCAAATATACAAATATTAAGTAAAATATTGATTAATTATAAAAAACTCAAACTTCCTCTCTCTCTATTTATTGCTTTTATTAATTCTTTATGCAACCTTAAGTATACATTATCAAATTTTTCTATTTTAATAATTCTAAATTTAATTTCTTTTTTTCAATATTAGACTATTAGTAAAGACTTATTTCTATTTGCTTTGTAAATTGTGTGTTTTTGGGTTAATCATCTATTAATTTAATTTATTGAATATTTTTTTCATTGAGATTTTTGATATCCTTAAACTATTCATCCACAGTTTCTTACAAAATATTTACTTTTTCGTTCATAAGATTCAATTACTCCTCACTTTTAAGGACCTTTATTTTATATTAATCCAATAATTTTAATTGTTCAATCATTTCAATTTTCTCTTTACTATTTTAATTTTCAAGTTCCTTATTTTTAAAATTTAACAAATCAATATTTTTTTTTTGTTCTTCAATTTCTAATTTAAATTTAAAATTCTCATCTTAAATTTTTTTCAATTATAATTCAGATTCATTTACTTAAAGGAGAGTCTTTTATAATATGTCGGAAGTGTTTTATTCTGACATATAGGCAGTCTTTAAGCTTTGATCTGTTTATTCAATAGGGATATCCTTTTTTTTAGATACACTTGCATTGCTTCCTGCTCTGGTAAAAATTAAATCAGTATCAGAAATATTTAGAATTTAATTGAGGTTTATTTAATAAAGTTGTTAATCATATTATTTTTACACTAAATTATTTTATATATTTACTTTATCTATGTGCAGTTTCGGCAGATTCATGGTCC